CCTATAAAAAAAGCAAGGTTTCTCCCATTAGGTCCCGCTTAACTATCCCTAAATTGGAACTGTCCGATGCCGCTCTCCTCACGCGACTCCTAAACCACGTTCACTCTTCCTTGAAGCCTGTAATCGACATTACGGGCATCTACGCATGGTCGGACAGTGAGATAGTACTTTGTTGGCTCCGAGCTGCACCTCACAATCTTGAGGTCTTTGTGGCGAACCGCGTGTCTCAAATCCAGAGTTCTGAGACTTCTCTCAACTGAAGACATGTCCCAGGGGAATTGAATCCCGCAGACTGCGCTTCTCGCGGCTGTGAGGCCCCATCGCTGGTAGACCACCCACTGTGGTGGGGTCCCGGTTGGTTATCTGGGGCTCAGTTATTCCGGCCCCCGGGCAATTACTCTTAACCTACCGAATTGCCGGGCCTACGAGCCCGAGTAGGACTGGGCAAGAATAAGCCCACTCGGGATCTCTGTCTTCTGGAACGGTACAGGTCCCCCGATAAGCTCTTGGGAGTTACTGCTTGGTTGCGTCGCTTTGTCCGCAATTCGAGATACCCGTCCAACCGACTCTCTGATAGCGTTTTGTCCCCTAGCGTGCGTCGTGAAGCTTTGATGCACTGGACCCGTATGGTCCAAACGGAGCAATTTGAGCCCGTCATTGAAAACTTGAAGCGTGGCTCCGTTATCAAGGGCGCCCTGGCCCGCCTGAACCTCTTTCTGGATGACGCGGGGATGCTGCGCGTTGGCGGACGTTTGAAAAATTCTCAACTGCCGTATGGGGCTCGACACCCGTTGCTGCTCCCTAAGGACGGCACCCTGGTCCGGTTGCTGGTAGCCCACTTTCATGTTAAGAATGCCCACGCTGGGTGCAACGCTCTTTCGGCTGTTTTGCAGCGGGAGTTTTGGATTTTGGCTGGCCGGCGTACCATTCGGAGCGTCATCTTTAAGTGCATATCCTGTTATAAACTGCAGGCCACCATATCATGGGTGACTTGCCGCCCGACCGCGTCAGGGCCATCCGACCATTGGCTGAAGTCGGAACCGACTTTGCTGGCCCCTTCCTCGTCAAGTCCTCTAACCTTCGTAACGCGCGTTCGCATAAGGCCTATCTTTGCGTCTTTGTGTGCCTCTCCACTAAAGCCGTTCACTTGGAACTTGTAAGCGCCCTCAGCACGGCAGCCTTCTTGGCCACGCTTGGCCGTTTCGTATCGCGGCGCGGTTTGCCGGATCTGATCCGGTCGGATTGCGGATCGAATTATAAGGGCACGGATAGGTATCTAAAGGAGGTCGTTGAGTTTCTGTCTAGCCACCGGACTTATTTAGGCAATGCTATGTCAAAAAGGAGCATCCAGTAGAAATTTGACCCTCCGGCGTAACCACTGGGGCGGTATTTTCGAGGCGGTGGTTAAAGTGGCAAAAACGCATCTCCGTCGCGTTATTGGTGAAACTATTTGACATTTGAGGAGCTCGCCGCTGTATTCTGTAAAATTGAGGCTGTACTCAACTCTCGGCCCCTCTGTCCCCTCTCATCCGACCCGAATGATTTGGAGGTTCTAACCCCGGGACACTTCCTGATTGGCCAGCCGCTTTACGCTCTGCCCGAGTACCCCTTCAGGGAAACGAACGCTTCGCGGCTTAGCAGGTTTGCCTGCTGCAACAGATGACTCAGAGCTTTTGGCACCGATGGTCTCTGGATTACCTACATCTTTTGCAGCAGCGCATTAAGTGGTCTGACAAGACGGATCCTCCTCGGGTTGGAGACCTCGTGTTCGTTAAAGAACCCAACGCTCTGCCTTTGTATTGGCGCCGTGGGCGCATTGTTAAGTTGTCGTATGGAGCGGATGGGGTGCCTAGATTGGCTGAGGTTTTGGTCGTAGATTCGGTCTTGCAACGTGCCGACGCGACCTTGTCCTGTTTGCCAATCTACTTGCGGACATAATGCCTTATGTCCGGGGCGGGGGTTTGTTTAGGCAAAAATATTATAGCTTTGAAACGTAATTCTTTAACATGCATTCGTAGCATCGACAGCAAGGTCACCCGCCCCCCACCCGGCCGCATACCACAGCGATATCGGCCAGATTTCTCGACGGGCATTGTAAAGTTTTTTGCGATCTATACTGACGTCTGAGTTTCGCGCCTAACTTTGTTACGAAAGTATCAACCCGCGTTAATCGTTGAGAGAACACGTATTGTTCTTTAGGACTTATTAACTTCTGTTAATTGTGCAACTCCGATAGTGATTTTCCTCTGAAGTTCTACGTTTGGCTGTACCATTACTTGACGAAACAGAAAGAGTGCCTCAAGAGGGGAATAGTTCCGAGGCTACCAGCGGATACCTTCTCCAGGACAGCATTGTGTCATCTAGACCAGGCCACGTACACGTACACACACATTCATACATTCACGACACTTCCATCAGCCGGGCCGGTCCTGGTGAACCGCCTCCGCTCCTGAGGCAGGCAAGTGCCTTTCTCTTACTGATCTTTCCCCCTTTGTTTATTTTAATTAGAGAACTTCCACTTTGGCCTTAAAGGCCCGACCTGCATCTGCCTGTAGGTTCTTCTTACTATGGGCCTAGGAGGATCCTACCATTGGATAGGCAGCTGCACGCCGTAAAAGATGTTGATTTAATACAAGCCTGTAAAATTATCAACAAGTAGTCAACCGCTTCACATTGCTATTATTTTCTTTACAATTTTTTCAATATTTTAACATTGAACATTCTCCTATATTATCTCTACACATATAAACAAAGCTCTGGCACACAGTCCACCTGATAGTAAATACATGCTGACACCTAAATCTATTCTCGATTAACAATCAAAATGCAGATGAGCTGTCGCCTCTGAGAACTAAGATGGAATGCCTCGTTTCCAGTAAAATTTATATTTTTAATAGAATAAGGTTGACAAACGAGCACATAGCCCACCTGATGGTAAGTGGATACTGTGGCCCATAGACTTTTACATCTATCCTCGATTAAGAAACAAAATGCAGATGCGTTGTCGCCCCTGAGGATCAAGATGGAATGCCTCCCCAGTAAAATGGTATCTGTTTCTTAGTAAAAATAGTCGGATGCGTATAGTTTTTAAAAAAACCGGAGAAATTATTGCAACCCGGGAGGTCGGGAGATTAACCATGATGACTAGCTTAGGGGTTTATTTGCGTGCCATTGAAGCATGAGTAACGCGATGAAATCCGTATAAATAGCTTTATTAAATGTGTAGTGTTCTATTTTTCTATCGTAGTTTAAAAAAATAGAAATATAAAATAGTGTTCGCATAAACATAAGAAATCATTATGAGTAACTATTTAAAAAAAAACTGTCTGTCCGTCCGAACTAACCTTCAGAATGGCGAAACCGATTGTAATGAAACTACAGGAACAGGTAGAGAGTAATGCCAGTGTGGCAGCACGGCCGTAGCTGTCGACCGTTCGGCAATCGTCGGAAGCCCTCGACTGCGCTGGAGCAACCGGCTCGTTTTTCGCCGCCTCGCCAGTCGATCTGACCGTCCGACGCTGTGAGGCCGCTCGTCCGCGCTCCGATCCGCGATTTTAAACTTCGTAGAAATAAATGGTTATATAATATATGTGGCGTGTTGATTATTCGCATCCCCACATATAATTGGTGACCCCGACGTGATAAAAAATAAAAACTGTATAGGCGTGCAGTGTGTGTGAGTTTCTACGGCATCTGCGCAATTTGGCTGGAACCGATGTCCCGGGTGAATTTATCCGATCTTTATGGACGAGTCGTCTACTAAGTCATATTCAAGCTATCATAGCTACGCAGACAGAGGTAAACTTGGATAATGTAGCTTTATTAGCGGATAAGATCAACGAAGTCACTCTCCAACCTCAGGTCCACCACATAGCCACACCGCCACACTACACCGCCACTTCAGCCACACCGTCAACTTCGTCCGAATTTGAAGAATTAAAGCACCGCTTAGATGACTTATCTCATCAGGTGGCCTCACTGACAATGTCACGTTCTTGCTCTCGTTCCCGATCACGTGGTCATCATCCCAGAGGTCAACGCTGCTCACAAAGCCGCTCTGCTACTGGCACGTGGAAGTGCTGGTACCATTGGAGGTTTGGCAGCTCTGCAACTAAGTGTCGCTCCCCTTGCTCGTTTTCACAGGGAAACGACATTAAAACAAAATTACAATACTTAGTGGACACTGGTTCAGACTTAAGTGTATTTCCGTTGTGTAAATTACGTAGTAAGAGACTACATAAAACAAATTATGAGCTTATCGCAGCTAATGGCTCAGCAATCGCTACGTATGGTTGGGTTAATTTAATTTTAGATTTAGGCTTACGCCGCACTTTTAGTTGGAGATTTGTGATAGCTGACGTCACAAAACCAATTTTCGGCATAGAGTTTCTTTCATTTTTTAATTTGCTCGTAGACGCTAGGTACCACCGTTTAGTAGACAATACCATCTCTCTTATTGCTAAGGCTTATTCTGCTTCATCATTTGCTTTGTGCCAAATTAAAGTGTTTACAGGTACTACACGCTATCACAGCTTGCTGTCACAGTACCCTGAAATCACGCGGCCGTCTGGATATCCTACTGTACGGCAAGTGAAGCACCACACCGTCCATTTCATCCACACTACGCCTGGACCACCTGTCTTCTGCCGTCCACGACGCCTGGCACCGGATCGGCTCCGCATTGCCAAGCAGGAGTTCGAGGACATGGTAAGAACGGGTATTGCCCGGCGCTCCGACAGTCCATGGTCCTCACCGTTGTTACACTTAGTACCAAAAAAAGATAATACGTTTCGTCCATGTGGCGATTACCGTGCACTCAATGCCCGGACAATCCCCGACCGATATCCGGTTTGCCATATATGTGATTTTACACACAATCTTTTTGGCTGCCGAGTGTTCAGTAAAATCGACCTGGTCCAATCGCACCAGAGGATGTATGCAAAACGGCAATCGCTACACCTTCCGGGTTGTTCGAGTTTCCTTTTATGGGGTACGGATTAATGGACGAAATCCTTAGGGACATAGACTTCGCTTTCCCCTATCTAGATGACATACTGATTGCGTCAAAAGATGAAGCTAACCATGAGCGTCATTTGTGTACAGTCTTCGAGCGCCTTCGAGAGCATGGTGTTGTCATAAATACTGCTAAAAGCATCTTCGGAGTACCAGAGGTAGAATTTTTAGGCTTCATGGTCTCAGCAGAAGGTACGAGGCCCATAAAAGAAAAGGTCAGTGCTATTTTAAATTTTCCATTACCCAAAACTGTACGAGAGCTCAGAAGATATCTTGGTATGTTGAATTTTTATAGGCGATTCATACCAAACGCTGCTCAAGTACAGACGCCACTGCATCTTCTATTAATGGGAGAAAATGTAAAGCCATCTACGCTCATCACCTGGAAACCAAAACTCGAGCAATGTTTCGCAGAAAGTAAGGCAAGTTTGGCAAATGCCAGTTTATTAGCTCATCCCGATCCGACAGCAGAATGGGCGATTGCTACCGACGTATCAGATACTGCTGTAGGAGCAGTTTTACAACAGAAGAATGACTCAGGCTGGATACCGTTAGCATTCTTCTCCAAAAAGCTTAACACAGCTCAAAGGAAGTATAGCCCGTATGATAGAGAGCTGCTAGCTATGTATGAGGCAATAAAATATTTTAAATTTATGATAGAATCTCGATCTTTTATATTATTCACTGACCATAAACCAATTATATTAGCGTTTAATAATAATTCAAGGAATTTATCACCACGATAATTTCGATACCTTGGTTACATATCGCAGTTTACTAGAGATATCAGGTATATTAAAGGTGACGATAACATTGTTGCGGATACACTTTCTCGGATAGACGCTATCTCAAACATAATAGACTTATAAAAACTTAAAATTTCACAAGAAAAGGATAATGACCTCGTTAAACTTATAGAAGGCAATTCTTCACTGAAGCTGCAGAAAGTCGCCATTTCTGACTTCGGGAAGAAACTGTACTGCGATATATCCGGTACGTCTCCTCGTTTATATTTGCCGCTAAAATTTCGTCGTGAGGCATTTGATTCGATACATGGGTTAAGCCATCCCCAGGAGCGAAAGCTACAACAAAATTGGTAGCACAATGGTACGTGCGGCCCAGTATGAAAAAAGACTGTAGAGAATGGGCACGCGCATGTATAGACTGTCAGCGTTCTAAAGTCTTTCGACACACTAGATCGCCAGTACAACCTTTCTCGCCACCGTCCAATAGATTTTCGCACGTGCACATCGATCTAATTGGACCATTACCTGTTTCACACGGTTATAAATACTGCTTAACGTGCGTAGACAGGTTCACACGTTGGCCCGAGGTAGTTCCTTTGGAGGATATAAAAGCCGAAACTGTGGCTAATGCCTTTACTCGTGGCTGGATCTCGCGTTTCGGATGTCCTCATAAAATAACCACGGATAGAGGAAAACAATTTGAGTCGCACATATTTAAAGAGCTATCTAAACTCACAGGTTCTCTCCACATCTCTACCACCGCTTATCATCCAGCAGCTAACGGCCTCCGCGAGCGCTTTCACCGACAACTGAAAGGTGCCATCGTGTGCCACGCAGATAAGGACTGGTATGAAGTTCTTCCGCTAGTTCTTCTAGGAATACGCTGCGCCTGGAAAGAAGATATAGCAGCATCAGCTGCTGAGTTGGTGTACGGTGAGACGTTACGTTTACCTAGTGATTTCTTTATATCGAGCCTAAAACAAGTCACTGACTACACAGATTTCGTATCCAGGTTACGCTCACATATAAGAGAGTTAAAACCCTCAATGGTCGTTCGACATGGAACCCCAAATGCATTTACTCAGAAAGATTTGCATAAGACGTCGCACGTGTTTCTAAGGCAAGATGCTATCAAGAAAGCGTTCCAACCTCCTTATTCCGGTCCATTTAAGGTCATCGAACGCGATAAAAAACTTTTAAAATTAACGTAAATGGTAAAATTATTACGGTCTCTGTTGACATATTGAAACCAGCCTATACTCTCAACGATTCTACGGAGCCCTCCGAAGAACTACATAAAGAACTAAGCTCGGCCTACACCACAAAATCTGGCCAAAAAGTGAAGTTTACGGACTTCTACCGACCGTAAAGATCTCCGGGGGGGCTGATGTGGCAGCACGGCCGTAGCTGTCGACCTTTCGGCAATGATCAGGAGCCCTCGACTGCGCTGCAGCTCGTTTTTCGCCGCCTTGCCAGTCAATCTGATCGTCCGACGCCGTGAGGCCGCTTGTCCGCGCTCCGATCCGCGATTTTAAATTTCGTGAAATAAACGGTTATTTAATATATGTGGTGTGTTGATTATTCCCCACACCAGGAATGATCAATGAATGATATATTTTATCTGAAAAACTTGGATTTGTTTTTGAGAAATAAGAAAATTTATAAAATATTCTATGTATGGTATGCTACAAAGTATTGGAATAATATACCACCTCCGATTAAAACAGCAGAACAGTTCGCACTTTTAAAGTAAAACTAAAAGAATATCTTTTGAATTTGCAAAGTTAGTATAATTCTGTGTCGATGTATCACACCTTTCTTATGAAGTATACTGTGTTTGTATATTATAAAACTACTTGCTTAATTCTCCATTTATTTTACTTTTGTATATTATTAAATAATTTAATTGTGTGCCTTGTGCCTTGCATATGCCTTTTGTTACGCTTTTTGTTGCGTTGGCTTATTATTGTGTCTTATTTTCCTAAATATTAACAGTTTTTTTTTTATTATTATTTATAAATTTTATAAGAGTGCATTTTTATTATTATGTTGGAGCCTGTGATTAGCTAAGTTTATTTTATTGCACCTATGTGTTAATATCGACGAACTTTTGCACAGGAATGGCGGTACATAAAATTAAATGCTTGTTTTTAACCAACTGTATATTTCATGTTTTTTTTTATATAGATTAGGGGGCAAACGAGCATGCGGCTCACCTGATGGTAAGTGACTACCGCCGCCCACGAACAACCGCAACACCAGGGGAATTGCAGATGCGTTGCCGGCCTTTTAGAAAGGTGTAAACTCTTTTCTTGAAGGCTCTTAAGTCATATCGGTCCGGAAAACTCGCTGGTGGTAATTGATTCCACAAGGAAGTTGTGCGAGGGAGAAAACTTCTTCTAAATCGCACAGTGGTGGACCGCCAATCATTCAGATGGTAAGGATGGTAACGCGAGTTTTGTCGCGATGTGCGATGGTGAAATTGAGCGGCTGGAATTAGTCTGAACAATTCCTCAGAACACTCCCCGTGATAGATGCGATAAAATACGCAAAGAGATGCAACATCTCTACGCAGTGCCAGTGTATTGAGCCGATCAGAAAGAACTCGGTCGTCGACGATTCGAATCGCTCTGCGCTGGATGCGGTCAAGTGGAAGGAACTGGCACTGGGGTGCCCCGGCCCAGTGATGAGAACAGTATTCCATGTTAGGCCGAACTTGCGCTTTTTAGAGTTGCAAGCGATGTGCCGGCATGAAATACCGTCTCGCTCTGCTGAGCACGCCAAGCTTTTTAGAGGCCAATTAGGCCTTCCCTTCCAAGTGATCTGTAGTGAAACTGCACACTATTCGATATGTCGACGCCAAGGATTCCGATACTGGTTGAGGCAGCAAGGGGAGTGCCTTGAAACTGAGGAGATACGACAGAGGGGTTCTTTTTAGCGGTAAACGCGCAAACTTGTGTCTTCTGGGGATTGAACTGGACTAGATTAAGTCGCCAACAATCCGAGACTTTGTTAAGCAAAGACTCGACTTCAGACACAAGTTTGTCCCGGTACTCGGCGACGTTTTCCCGAGAAATATTGGCACGGCCGGTATATAAGGCATCACCAGTGCTGTCGTCTGCATAGCAATGAATGCTACCAGTTAGCAACATATCATTGATATGCAGGAGAAACAGCGTTGCTGATAGCACGCAGCCTTGTGCAACACCAGCGTTGACAGGCTTAAAATCAGAGCATGCACCATCTACTACGACCTTGATGCTCCGATCAGCAAGGAAACTGGTGATCCATTTGAACAATTTCTCGGGAAGCCCATAGAAAGGAAGCTTCGAAAGAAGCGCTTTGTGCCAGACCCGATCGAAGGCCTTCGCTATGTCTAAACTAACGGCCAATGCCTCCCACTTGGACTCTTCTGCCTCCGCCCATCTGTGAGTTAAGTAGACTAGAAGATCACCAGCTGATCGACCCCGATGAAAACCGTACTGGCGGTCACTAATCAGCTGGTGATCCTCAAGGTACCGCATGAGCTGGCAGTTTATAATGGATTCCATTATTTTGGAGAACAAGTAGGTGTTGGCGATAGGTCTTAGTTGGACGGATCTGAGCGGTCGCCTTTTTTTAGGGATCGGGTGGACCAAAGCTGTCTTCCATGAATTCGGGACTACGCTTTGAGAGTAGGAGTACCGGAAAAGACGCGTTAAAACCGGTGCCAACTCCGGAGCACACGTCTTCAGCACAATGGGAGGGACTCCATCGGGCCCACTCGACTTGCTGACGTCCAGGGAGAAGAGTGCTTTGCGAACCGAGCGCTGTATAATTCGCACATCGGGCATGGAGCACTCACATCGCGGGATGGTCGGCGGTGTGTTCCCCCCGTCATCTAGAGTCGAGCTGGACGCAAAAAGAGAGCTCAACAGATCGGCTTTCTCCTTTGCGGCATGGGCCAGTGAGTCGTCCTCTCTGTGCAGAGATGGAAGAGATGGCTGACAGAAGTTCCCTTGGACAGCCTTGGTGAGAGACCAGAATGCACGGGTTCCCGAAGGAAGGCGAACTACCTTCTCGCCATTTCTACCGCTGTGCTCAGACCTTGCCTTGACAATGACGCTTTTGAAGGACCTGGAGGTGGAATTACACTTATTTTTAAGTGCGCTGGTGTTTACATCCCGAGACGTTGATGTGTCAGCCCAGGCCCGGTAGCACTCCTGCTTATATCGTGATGCTATTTTACAGGAGCTACCAAACCATGGCTGGGATCTGCCTCCGATGGGCACCACAGAGGATGGAATAAATGTTCCATACCCTGAAGTACCACATCAGCAACAGAATCGGCAACAACGCTGGGATCTTCCGGCGAGAAGCAAACCCGTCCCCAAGGGTAGGATGCAAAAAAAGATCGCATCCCCTCCCAATCATACCTACCTATAGTGCCAAATACGGCGGCAAGTTGCAGATCGCAACTACGATTGGAGCGTGAGTGGCACCGTACTCCGGATCAGACAATGGTCCGAAGAGCCCAGAGGGGCATCGACGGAGACCTGATATCCGTCCGGATGAGAGGTCAGCAGAAGGTCCAACAGGGAAGGTGCATGGTCTTCCACATCTGGAATACGCGTAGGCGAAGTAACCAGTTGTGTTAGACCATATGCTAAAACAAAGTCATAGACAGATGTGCCCGCATGATCGGTTAAACGAGAACCAAGCCATTAAGCGTGGTGGGCATTGAAATCACCGAGTATCACGATCTCTGCAGATGGGACCTGTTGTAGCACGGAGTCTGCAGCCATTTGGACGTGGTCGATGAGTCGGTCTGTGTCGGCATTACCGCTATGGGACCTATAGAGGCACCCGTAGACGCGGGGATGTTCGTTGCAGTCTACGCGCAGCAAGAGGATGGACAGGTACCCGTACCTTCAAGACTACCGAGGCGTCGAAAATAGATGTCCTCTCTGACGTATACGCAAACTCCAGCCCGGGGCACAAAGGAGTGTTCCAATTTGTACACCGGGTAGGAGAGATATGAAGTATCAGCCGGAGATGACACCTGAGTCTCGCTTAAAAAAAGCAAGGCTGGCTTCGCCGTCTCTAGATGGTAATGGACAGCGTTAAGGTTGGAATGAAGTCCCAGGGGACTATCCGTGAATTTTTGCAACATCAGGATGTTGCAAAAATTCACGGATAGCGTGACAGGGGTCGCCTTGGTTGTATTGCTCCGTTTGCCCCGAGCAGCATTAGTCGCGAGCGGAATTTTGCCCCCCCCCCCTCCCCCCAGAATACGTGGGTCAGCCTGAGCACCCACGCTTAGGAGTCAAGTAGTTTGGTCGTAGATGCTCAGCGAGGGATTCTCCAGGGGTCTCAGTGGGTGGTACCCTCCTGGGGTAGTCTTTTATTTAATTCCACTACCATGTTGATGGGGGTGGGGGGAATTGGGCCTCCGGCCACCTGTACTCACCAAGCGCAACGCAGAGGTAAACCTCTACTTCACGCTGGTATTCTGTGAGGTCGTGGTACCACCCCGGTTCGAGCTGGCCCATTCGTGCGACAGCAAAAGCTACCGCTTGGCTCTACCACTGTTAAAATGTGGCGTTAGTCTTTACAACACATGTATCCACTTATTATCACACACCAAAATACTTTCTCACAATCATAGTGAACATTTCACTAATCTAGTATCATTTACATAGATTCCACAATACACGTCTATGCATTACGACTGTTAATCTACGAATGACCCCTCCACTGTCTAGCCTTACAGCATTTATAGCAAGAATAAAATAGGGTTTGGATTTGACATCCGCAATAGTCAAATCCATAGTCAATAACCAAACAAAGTATTTACCAAACGGATGTTATACAAAATGTCAACATATGTCTCTGGTGTTTACTGAAAATCAGCGTTATAGTCATCAGTATGTGGTTTCCATAACATTTGTGCTGAGTAGACGCCATTTTAGTTCCATTCCATTAATTTATTTTGTTATGTTCATTTGTTTTTATGTTTAGAACTAAATAAATTATATTATTATTATATTATTATTAATATTATTGTTATTCTAAAAACGATTAAGTCTTAGATAATTATCTTTAATCTAAGTAACGTTACATCAATAGATACTACCTAGGCAAAGCCGGGCGTGTCGCTAGTAAGTAAATAAAACTTGGTTGTTGTGACGGTTGCCATAATAAGCTATCACTCCACTTGGTGAGTGATATACTAGGACAACGAAAACAACTGTCCCGAAAATCTAAGAGTCGATAGATGATAGAATACCCATCTTAATAAACTAGATCAAAGTAATTAGTATGATCGCCAAACCGCTTGCCAAACATTCACGTATAAAGTGAAAAATAAGCAAAACACGTTTATTTAGAATAAAACTACTACACACACCATACAAAACACATTAAAAAGCATTAAGCTGCTATTTTACCCTGGAATTCTGGTAGAACGTGTTCCTTTCCCGGTAGAACCGGTCCAATCATGCTACATCTATAATAAATCTATATGCCTGCAGCATAGCTCTACCATTATCTATCATTTTGTGTATATACATAAAATGTTCGTAAATAGACTGAGATATCAAAAATTATATTTTTATTTCTTTAAACTTCCACCGTACTTGGGATATAGATAGCTCTTATGTCTTTTTCTGTAAAACAAAGATAGTTTCAATGTCAGTCTCATTACCCCATAGCAAGATTCCATATTATGACATTATGCTATTAGGAAATAACTAAAATCAAATTATCTAGCTGTTTGATATGACGATGATATGTTTGGACGTCCGGAAGTGGGTGAGAATTGAATTATAAAACTCCATTACCTACATACGTATCTAAATATATACAGATTACGCTAATCAAAGCATATTATCAAATATATGCAGATTTGTTCCAGTCTGTAGAGTATAGAGAGTCATTATGACTACAGGCTAGAAGGCATTCTATCTTAGACCTCAGACGTGGAGTTTTAATTGTCACTTAATTTTTTAAATGTAAAAAATTTTGGATTTGTTTATTGACTAATAATTACAACAGTAAAATTTTTTTTATAGGATAGGGTGACAAACGAGCACGCAATCCACCTGATGGTAAGTGGTTGCTGGGACCCATAGACATCCACATTTATCCTCAATAAATAATCAAAATGCAGATGCGTCGTAACCCGTGAGGACTAAGATGGAATGCCTCTTTTCCAGTAAAGAAGGGGCTCCGGTTCTCTACACTCACCATATGAAACACAGCAGAGTTAAGCTGCCATTTTACGCTGGTTTTCTGTGAGAGCGTGGTCCTTCCCCGGTTGATCTGACTTATTCGTGCTACAATTATATTACTAATATCTTTCACGTTTAAATGTAATGTTAAAATAAAAATGTGTAATGTTCCAATAAATGATTAAAGCAGAGTTTCGGCTTGAATATAAATAAATAAATATGACTATCGATACATTTACAACAAAGTCCTCGACAATATACAAGTTATCTCTATTTGCTAGTTCTTCCGAGACTAGACTTTTTCCGAACCAGTGGTCAAGTGAAAAATGGCTTTCTTAATGAAAGAATTATTTATTGAATAAGAAAATTATTCTATTCTATTCTATACTATCTATCTAGAATTTGTATATATTTAAAAGTATAATAAAAACTGATAAACGTATGTATGAAGTTAATGTTTTATATTTAATTGTACGACATAATATAATGTACATTAAAATTAAAAATAACCCGCAGAGTTTTCTGCTTTTATATTCCTGGGTACCCAACTCACACGGTCTTAATGCAAGAGATTACATTCTGCAAGCCTCAGAGAGGATTAACAAGTTGTTTTAAGCGAAGTAAAGTAAAAATTAACTTTTAATAAAAAGTATAATCTGACTTCAGACAACTAAAAGGAATTTAATAATTTCACATTCTGAAGTCGTGGCTTTGATACTTCTATACATTATATCTTAGAACTGTTTTTAATTAGTTTGAATTCGGCTTTTACTTGTTAATTAAAGTTAATTTTTTTACTCCTTGATTCGACAAAAGAATATCTCAAACTGAATGTCGTCTCAATAGTCCAATTCAAAACTTGATCCATTACTATGCCACTATAAGAAGTACAATTTTTTATTCCAAAATATGTCACCAAAATCTGTTCAAAATTGTAAACATATCGCGTTATTTATATATCACTTATTAAGTGACCATTATACAGAACCATCTTTACTATATTTCTGTAAATATTCATGGATTTTTGGAAAAATTGTTACGTTTGTGTATTGACTATAGCAGTTATCGACGTGAGTCCATGTTAGCCGTCTCACTTGATAAGACTCTATCAAATTTGGCAGTTGAGTCGAAAGCCATTGAACATCCTTCGAATCGACTAATACATCGTTTTTACCATATATTAATACAACAGGTATGTTGATACGATTGAGGTTATAAAGAGGTGGTTGAACGGTGCCATATACTCCCTCATTTTTACTAGGTCCATAATCGTATTTTTGAAATTTGCCTGATAACACGTTTTGACCATAGAAAGCTAAATTTCGGGCTGACGTTCCAGCAGGGAAATGTCCAAACAACACTCGTATCGTTTGAGTTAATATTGAGCCCGGATCATAAGAATTGATTAAAGCCAACGCTGCTCTACACACAGTTCCCGCCAAAATAATATCTTTGCAAAAGAAAGATGCCGCTTTTTGAATCAATCCCCCTTTTTGATAAACTTCCAACTCACCCAAAAGTGGTTCTGTTGGCACAAAAATCGGAATCATCAACAGTACAGGTACAGATTTTGTATATTTTAATCTTGCCGCTGGAGCTAGATTAATGGAAATTATTATTTTGTCGCAGTACCCAGATGTTTCGGAGCACATGATGAAAAATATCCGGGCACCCTGTGAGAACCCAACATAATTTAATTTCGAAGATCCCGTTTCGTTTAGAATGTAGTCAATAATAGCTGGTAAGTCTAACTTTCCCATGTCATGCGTGTCAAAATTCCAAAATTGTTCGTCTGTATCTGGATTGAGACGAACGTTTCTTCGTCCATAATACGTGCCACGTACATTTCCCACCCACAGATCATAGCACGCGTCTGATATAAGAAACGCGAGCCCAGCTGATGGACCGGCGTCTAACCAAGAATCTGAACTCTGTAGCAGCCCGTGCATAAGCAATACTGGGGGTTGCCTTATCCTTCCTCTACAATTTTTACCCTTCGGTATCCGGAACACCGATAAGATGTATCCATCTTCTGTTACTACAGTATGTTCTTCAGCTTTATATCCATAATTTCTCGCAAATTCAGTAAAATTTGAAAGTGAATCCCGAGGGTAACCTTTCGATGTGGCGTCGTTATATATTTTGAAGACCCAGTTCTTCCCAAATGTACTTTTGAACATAGCAAATAATAGAAACAGTAGAAAAATAACGTCACCACCTTTCGAAGTCATTTTGTAAATTAACTTCACCTTTACTGTCACGGCATTTAAAACATGAATCGGTTATCACAATTTCTTATCATTACGATTATTCAAACAGCTTTACACGGGTTGAGGCAATTAGTGCTATTTTTTTTAAAACTTTTAAGACCCGTATTAGTTATTTTACTAAATTTACTAGCAATTCAAAATAATGATTACAATGATAGTTATCTACCTCTGCCTCTAACGAGAATTATTTACGTTTATTTAAAAATAACTGACCCTGTAGTGATGGTGTAAGAATATCCACTATTCTATACATCCGTGGGTATAGTAAGAGGCAACAGAGAGATTCAAAACAGGGATGGGCAGCAGCGTCTTCCTAATAATAAATAAACATTAAAAAATTATACATGGTAGAGCATCTCTGCAGCTATACGAGTATTAGTTGTAGCAAGAATGGGACGGCTCGACCGGGTTAAGACCATGCTCTCAGAGAATACCAGCGTAAAATAGCAGCTCAGGGCTGTTGTGTTTCATATGGTGAGTGTAAAAAACCGGAGACCCTTTTTACTGGATAAGAGGCATTCCACCTTAGTCCTCAGGGGTGACAACGCATCTGCATTTTCATTCTTAATCGAGGATAAATGTATCTATCAGGAGGACTGTGTCCTCGTTTGTCTACATTATTATTAAAAAAAACTGCGGTTGGTAAGCCGCTTGCCATGCGTGGCAAATTTTCCCCCTATAATGCATCTAAGGGGTAGCTCTATTTTCATTAGAGGCCTATAATTAGGCTGTATCGGTAAAGACGATGGTTTAAAAATAATGTAAAGTTAACCTATATCCATAACTACTTTGTGTTGTCAGTGATGACGTATGGAACGTTGTTCGTCGCTGCTGCTCGGATGAGAAAGCTAACGTCGCTCAGTAAACAAAGCAAGGTATATTGTTTTATAAAACTGAAGTGACACATCTGTAACCAACTTGGCACAAAGAAGGCTGCAGATACGTTGTCACCCTTGAGGACTTAGATGAAATGCTTCACAGCCTATAATTACACTGTCGCTCTATGAACTGCAGAACGGAACAGAACACTGCAAGATCTGCTATGTGACGGCAGAAGTAGGAAAAAGGTACTTGCTTTCTCAAAGAAATAGGAAAAAGGAAAGAAGCACTTGTTCCCCTTAATGCCTCGAACGTTTGACAGGGTTAGGCACTGGTAGTCTCTCTCTGCTTGCGAAGTTGCCGCCAGTACACCAGAGCCCAAAGAAGATGAGGAGGTAGCCAGACGCTACGGGATATACCGTGTGGCTACAAAAGCGCTACAAATTGCAAAAGCCAACGCCAGGTCTCGGTCTTGGAAAAAGCTTCTGGAGTGACTCAACAAAGATCCCTGGATGCGTTCATAAAGGGTGGTGCTAGGTAAGCTCCGGTCTTGGTCGCTCCTCTTGATGGAGATTATCGATCTATATCTGCTGGGAAGGATGATTAGCATGCTCTTCCCAGAGGACCGGTCAAGTCCCTCAGGTAACATATCGTCGTCATTGGAGTGGCAGGATGAGATGGGGGTGACTGTCGAAGAGCTGGATCGAGCCGTTAGTCGCTTAAAAGCTCGAAACATTGCAACGGGGCCCGACAGAATACCGAGCTGGGCCCTAGTGTTGAGTCTAGCTGCCCTGAGGACAGACTCAGGCAGCTGTTTTTAACGTTCCCCACAGCCTGAAAAGAGGTTTTTTGAAGAAGGAGAGCAGGGCCGCTGATACTCCCTCCGAATACAGACCCTAATGCCTGTTGGACAAGATTGGCAAATTATTCGAGATAATAGTTGCCACTCGGCTCAATAGGCATCTGTCGCGCGTCAGTCCCGATCTGGTCAATAGCCAGTTTTGGTCCCGACGGGAGCGTTTGACTTTACATGCGATTATGCACATCCGCTCCCTGTCGGAAGAAGCAGTATCCCAGGTTGGCGTGGCGTTGGCCATAATTCTTGATATCGTCAACGTCTTTAATTCTTTACTCTGGGATGCAATCAAGAGGTCACTGACATATCATCAGGTGCCCCCTTTCGTGCAAGGTATTATCGGGGACTACTTGTGCAACAGGTACATTCTGTACATGGGCCAAGATGGCAGGAAGATCCGGAGGGAGATCAAACGTAGGGTTCCGCAGGGCTCACTGCTGGGTCCGCTACTGTGAAACCTCACCTATAATTTGGTTCTGCGAACTGATCTTCCCACTGACGTAGATATCGTCTGCTATGCCGACGACACATTGTTGATCGCCAGCGGGATCACTTTCGAGAGAGCCTAGGAGCTCGCGTTAGAGAGTTTTGGGGATATTACGTAACCCTGTCTTACACCTCTCTGCAGTTAGATAGATTTCGTACTCTGGTTCTGTACTCGGATAGCCTTCGTAGTCCTACTGTACAAACACTTCAGCACTTCGATATACCGACAATCCACTTGGCACCATTGAAGGGACTGCATCACCGCCCAAATTTCGACAGAATCAAAGGCTTTCTCATAGTTCACATACGTAAGACAAAGTTGGAGACTCTTCGGTCTTCTGAACAACATGCCAAAAGGTGTGTATGTGGTAAAAGGTGTTAAAACCTTTTCGAAACCGGCTTGTTCGGGAGGACGATTCGTAATGACTCTCAAAAACAACACAGTAGACGCAGCTCAGAAGGGAAATCGGTCTGCAGTTATTCAAGAGAACATTGTCGCCTTTCTTGAAGAACAAGACCATCGCACATCTGATCCACGCCTGCAGAGTAGTGCCACCACGGAGAACGGAATTATATAGCTTCTGAAGGACTTCACGTACCGGTTTTTTATCCGCTTTCAGAAGCTCCTCTGTATTTCCATCCTCGCCCGAGGACTTCCATTTTTAAGGTGCTGGTGAGCCATTCTAATCTTGCACAGACTGACGTCCAGGATATCATCGGAATAGTGTCGGATGACCTGATCTTGGATCGTTACTTACACTTGCGTGTGGCTCCAACGATGATGCATCTAGAACCTCTCAATTTCACTCAAAATCTCAGGTGCTACATTCCGTTTTCAGCTTCGACAGTTGGCTCTTTCTGGCAGACTGATCACTGGCAAAGACTTTGGAGCCCTGGTTCCGCTCAATTGTTTCTTCAAAAGGAGCTGTATTGAGGTTGCGCAAGTCCCGCCGCATGCGTTTGGAGATCTGTCTATTCAGCTGCCTGTATGCTGTCAAATCTGCTGAAGACTGCAGCTTCATCTTTTTATAGGTGGTAGAGCCATGCTGCAGCTATATTAGTAGTATAGTGGTGAAGCACTACGCTGTCACAGAATACCAGCGTAAATTAGCAGCTTAACATTGCTGTGTTTCATATGGTGGGAACCTGAGATCAATTTTACTGGAAAAAAGGCATTCCATCATAGTCCGGGTGACGTCGCATCTGCATTTTAATTTGTAATCGAAGATAGATGTAGATGTCTATGGGCTACAGGCAACCACTTACGATCAGGTGGACCGTGTGCTCGTTTGTCACTCTATCCTATAAAAAAAATCTCTTGTCTAGCCGCCATGAGATTAAGAGCGTGATTGAAGTGTTTTTGTGTTCTTCTGCGTGATCTTCTGTGTTTTCGTGTTTATATATTTGAATATTTTGAAATATTTGCCAAATGTGTATTCCAGTACCAAATCTCAACTTTTATTGAATATTTAATGGTAGGAATACTCTAGCACTGTAATTGTAATTATCAATAAAAAAAATAATTTATTATCTTGTTTTAATTTTTTTTAATCTTAATTCTTTTTCTAAAATTTTCTCCTGTATGTATATTGTCCTGCACTGTATGGTTATATGGAAGTGATTTATATTTGCGAAAATTGCGCACTAACAAACATACAAACCAACCAATCAATTTTTGTGTTTTTTTTTAATTACAAAATTGTCATTATAATTATCATAATTAATTTTTACTTAAATTTATCTTTAATAAAGTACACGTTCCAATTGTTAATTAATTGATAGCATGCAGTAAGACCTGTTTTAAAGTTATCTTCAATTTTATTTGCATTTTCTTTATTATTTTCTATAAGTCAGTTTACAAATCATAATGCAGATGCGTTGTCACCCGTGAGGACTAAGATGGAATGCCTCATTTCCAGTAAAAAAGGGTCTCTAGTTCTCTGCACTCACCACACGAAATACAGCAGTTTTACGCTGCTATTTTACGTTGGCATTCTGTGAGAGCGTGGTCCTTCCTCGGTCGCGCTGACCCATTCGTGCTACAACTATACTACTAATATAACTGCAGCATGGCTTTACCACGTATTATATTTGAGGATATCTCAACCCCCAACAACTGAAGGCGGTCGGTGTACTCCAGTGATACATTAAGGAAAGAAGGAGTCAATGTGAGCTGGCTCCTTTTTGCAGTGAAAGGACACGCTTGTAATTTGGAGGCGTTGAATTTCACAAGATTGGCATCGCCCCATTCGAAGACTGCCTGTAGTGTGAGATTCACACCCTCTACCATAGCTTCTCTTTCGGACTGGATTTGATCGCGACTGGCACGAGGATTTGGTTTGTATCTCTCCACAACTGTGCTATCGTCTGCATACCCATAGATACCGGCCATAAGCAGATCATTAATATGCAGCAGAAAGAGCAGGCCGTTGAGGAACACCGGCCTTAGTCGCAACACGATTGGATGAGCAGCCATCGACGACGACCCGGAGAGACCGTTCACTCAGAAAGTCCTTTACCCAATCAATCAGACCAGTGAATAAGCCGAACGCTGGAAGCTTACCCATAAAAGCTAGTGTGCCAAATTCTGCCAAAGGCCTTCGAGACATCAAGGGAAACAGCCAGTGCTTCCCCCCTGTTCTCGAGTGCCTCGCTCCATACGTGTGTCTCAAAGCTTGTAGGTCCCCAGGTGACCGATTTCGGTGAAACCCGTATTGGTGGTCACTAAGGAGGTCATTCTGTTCTAGGTAAGCCATTAAGCAGGCGTTCAATATAAGCTCCATAATCTTGCAGAGTATGG